TTTTTTTTTTGGTTTATGGCAGGGTGATATACTCACCATATATAGGCTAAGGTTTTTATCATAGATGAGGTAATTTGTCTCAAGTTTCTAAATGGTAAGCTGATTGACGATTAAAGTGAACCGTCTCATGTTTGGACTAATAAGTTAGACGTAAGAATATACATGTACCATTTTTTACAATCCATAGTTTGTGATATACTAAATGGTAAGCTCATTGTGTTGGACTAATAAGTTATACGTAAGAACATACATGTACGATATTACAATCTATAAGTTTGTGATTTTGTAGGTGCGCTTGCTGTTTTTGAGTTTCAATTTTGAAAGAAACAATTCTCTCCCTTTTTGCAGGGAAATGATTTGATGAGAATTCTAAATGTAGCAGCATTTGCAGTATCTGGTTATGCATCAACCGAAGGCCGACAATGCAAACCCTTCAATCCTCTCCTAGGGGAAACCTACGAGGCTGATTTTCCAGATAAGGGTTTAAGATTCTTTTCTGAAAAGGTTTTCTCTTCTGTCATAAAAAAGAATCTCACATTATTTATCTATCATCTTTAGTTTGATCTTTATGAGGTAGTCATAAATGGGTAAAACTTGTCTAACTAATGGTAACAATCATAAGTTAAAGCATATGATTGTCAATATCAACATTTTTTTTTTCCTTTTATCAGGTCAGCCATCACCCGGTAGTTGTTGCCTGTCATTGTGAGGGTAGGGACTGGAAATAATATGAATATTGATCCATATAAAATTGAACGTAATTTAGTTTGGTGATGCTGACATGTTGTGATCACTAAATTTATAAGTAATTGCAATTTTTAAGCTAAAAAAATACAGTAAATGTTGTTACAGAATCTAATTAAATATTATATTATAAATAAAACGCATGATATTTTGTATTAATATAAATATAAATTATTGTGTTAAAAAGTCTGTATACTTGTTTGGCCTCCTAGAATTATTACTACGTGTAAGACAAATAAAGAAGGCATTAATTCCTTGTGTAAATGAAAGAGATCAGATTTGATTGTGGTAACCATATGAAGTCAATATTAATTAAAAATTACAGAATTTTCATGCCAAAACAATTGACATCTACGCATATATTTACATGCCAAAGGAATTGATTTTCCGTCCAAAAAAAATTCAATGTCTAAAATCTTTTGTGATTTCGTTCTAAAAAATTGACTTTTAGATTCCCAAAATAATAATAGGTTTATTTTATAGAGATATTATCTAAAAAATAATCAAACTTTTCTATATATATATATTTATATGATTATATATATAAAAGCATGTGACAAAATTTTTAGTTAGTTTTAACTAATCAATGGAGGCACACGAAATATTTTTACTATACGTGGCTGGAGGTTCTTCCCTTGGCGTGTTATGTCTTCTTATTTACGCTTGTTACGTTACTCTCCGCCGCAAAAAAGATGAAACAGTCAATGTTGAGGGAGGCTGACATCCGTCGACTGGAAGTGACGGTGGCACTATGCTTATGGTGTCGGGAGCAACTCTTTAGATTTGTTTTTATCTAATAAGTATATTTAATTTCTTATGCTATCTAATAAATATTTAATTCCTTATGCTATTGAGAAAATGACATGTCATGTTTGAGTGATCTAATAAATATTTAATTTCTTATGCTTTGTTTTGATTGTTATTTATTCAACGTAGAACTTGAAATGCTTGTTATTTGTTTAATTTATTTATTTTTTTTTAATTGCGTACACTTTCTTTATTACACTTAACATGTTATTATACTAATATAAACGTACTAATAATTGGCAAAAAAAAAAAGAACAATTGCATAAACTATCAAAGAACATGTTCTTTATCTATTATATTTGAATTTAATTATTATTAAAAAATAAAGAGAAATTCATTTGAGATTAACATTAAAACACAGAAAGCCGATTGTGATCATTAGTATTTTTGTGAGATATTTAAGGACAAAGAGATTTTTAACTTTTAAGTCCACTAGTTTATGGAAATTTAAGGGTGCAGAAATTACCAAAAAATAAAATAAAATAAAATAAACCTATAAAATTATTAATAAATAAATAAATAAAACGCACATAATTTAGCGTAATTTAAATTCAAAACTGAATTATGCCGCTCGAAATATTGGGTTCTAATTTTCTGTTCCACTTTGATATTATAATTTAGAGTTTCATTCTATTGAATGAATGACACGCGTACATGATGATGTCGTATTAGTACACGTGCCACTCGCCTTATAGAATAAAATACAAAATGAAACATGAAAACATAACTGATTAACTTAATTATCCACAAAAAATGCATCTTGCAGTTATTTATTACATCCTTATATCATAAATATTTGAATTTATGTTTTTGTTAACCATGAAGATGAGTAGATTTTGGTTGTATATAAAAATAACAAACCTATTTTTAACAAGAATAAATTCTGCTACAATGTTATATTATAAAAAGTATACATAACAATCATTTTATATTATATAGAAATTTATGAAATATAACTATTTAAAGTAAAAAAAATTACATGTTTATTCAAAAAATCAATATCAAATCAAAAAACTAACTCGCCTAACAATAATGAAATCTTAGACCTAAAAGTGTGATTTTGAATTTATGACATTCTTTTATGTTTTAAATGCTTTTTATTCTAACAAATCTTAAATTTTAAAAAACTGTAAAAGAAGATAATGAATATTTACTGATTTGGTCCGATTTTCAACTATAGTCAGTCTCACGTATATAAAATCGAACACCAGCGCGCACGTTAGCCATCACCGCCCTTCAGTCAAGCCTCGGTGGGTGCTAAACACCAAGACCATGATATTTAACGGCCACCGTCCATGTCTCTCCTCCGCCGCTTAACCTGCGCCACTCCTCTCCACTGACGAAAACTCCATGCTCCTGCACCGCTGCCACATTTACTCATTACATACAGCTCTCTGTACGTTTCTCTACACTCGATCCGTGAAACATAATTACGACAACCCACACTACACCAGCAGATTTCTCTCACTGTAATTTTGTTCCCCTCAGTTTCTTTCCAACTGTACTGAAAAGCCCATGTGATATTTTCGGTGTTTGCGTCCGGCCGATCTCCGATCGGGCGAGGTATCCTTTTGAAATCCCGAGATCGGGGCTCGATTCCGGTCCCGCCAGAGGATGAATCCGCTTTGCTGCATTGCTCCGGTGACGTCCGAGAACGATCGAGCTGTGGTTAAGCCACATGCGCCGGGCCAGGAGCTCGTATCCGAGAGCGACCGCTTCAGTTCGGCCGAGGTCAATGGCAGCCGGAATGCGATTTTCCGGCCGATGAGTTTTAACTCGAGGAGCAGCTTCTCGACCAATTTGGTGCCGGACGCTATCGAGGAGGACTGCGAGGTGAAGAGCGTGGCCGGGATTCTGTATAAATGGGTGAATTACGGCAAGGGGTGGAGGGAGAGATGGTTCGTTTTGGAGGATGGGGTTTTATCGTATTACAAGGTACACGGGCCGGATAAAATCGTCGTCAGCTCGTGTAGGGAGAAAGGGTTGCGAGTGATCGGGGAAGAAAGCTGGAGGTACATGAGGAAGGGCAGTATCGGTAATTGGAGCCGGAATGGTTCAGTGGGGAATGGGTTTGGTTCTGAGAAGCAGTGGAAGCCATTTGGGGAGGTACATTTGAAGGTGAGTTGACTGGTTTTAGTTTGGAACTTGGTTTCTTTTTTTGGTAGATTTTATTGGTTGCTTGTTTATGCATTTTACTAAAGATAGGTACATACATTAGATGTTGCTGTTGAGGGAATATGATCAAATGTTGCGAAAATTATTAATTCCAACAGGTTTCCTCGATTCGGATCAGCAAATCGGATGACAAAAGGCTTTACATATTCACCGGAACAAAAACTCTTCACTTGCGTTGCCAGTCGAAGGAGGATAGAGCTTCGTGGATTGAGGCGCTTATGTTGGCTAAAGATAATTTTCCAAGACTGTTGACAAGCAATGAGCTGGCACCTTCTGAAGAAATTGTAGTTTCAACCGAGAAGCTGAGAACAAGATTAACTGAAGAAGGGATTAGTGAGACGGTGGTTAAAGATTGTGAATCGATAATGCTAGGTGAAATTGCATTGATACAGGATCAGATGAAGAAACTTCAAATCAAGCACGTCTTGTTGCTGGACACATTAAGGAGACTGGAGGTGTAAATGGGTTTGCGCTGTTTTCGCAATTAGATTACTTATATTTTATTCTTTGAAAATATCTCTGAAAACTCTAACTTTTAGTATCTTGGTTTTCTGGTTATCCTGTCTGGCGTAGAAAATAGTCGAAATACAATGTGGACTCTGCATAGATTAAGTGACTTAAAAAATGAGTGGAAGATGACTATCTATACTTTTGGATATTATTCTTGTCTCTCAGCCTTAAGATCATGTTATCACTATAACTGTTTAATATGAATCTGAGGGAATAAGTTCATGTGTGGTTTGATGCAGTGTCTCCTATAGTTTGATTGTTTATGTTGATTTGTTTGTGAACATAACCAATATGTACACCCTTCATTAACATCCCAACTCCCAAGTACTTTGAAATCTCTTTTTCCATCTAAAGATTGTGACACCAGTTAAATTCATTCACAGACTGAGAAAATCGAGCTGGAAACAACTGTTGTGGATGAGACCAAGGCACGAGATTCGTTTTGTGGACAGGGGAGAAGGTTCAGTGGTTAGTTCAGCATTTCATACTATGTGGTTTTATTGAACTGAAAGAGATATATTTGAAACCCATTTAGTAATGTATTCCAGATAAAACTGATTGGCAACCTTTTTTTCAATTTTAAATTGAGGCAGTTTCAGATTTCTACTCAGTCATGTCGGGAGGAAGTGCTACCGACTCGGAAGCAGATGGAGTCGATGTTGAAACAGATGAAGATGAAAGAATCTTTTTCGACACAAATGATTCTCTTTCTGCAGAGTGTCTTAGAAGCAATTCGTACCGAAGAAGAGATAATCCAGTGTTTGCTCATAGCCCCTCGACAAATGAAAGAAGATCTTCCTTCTCTGGTCATATGAGAGACATTGGAATGGAAATACAGGATCCCGATTTCCCATACATCAAAAGAAGGGATAACTTACCAGAACCAAAGGAGAAAGATAAGCCGGTCGGGCTATGGTCCATTATTAAGGACAACATTGGAAAAGACTTGTCAGGTGTTTGTTTACCAGTTTACTTCAATGAGCCACTGTCCTCACTGCAAAAATGCTTTGAAGATTTGGAATACTCGTATCTTGTCGACCGAGCATTGGAATGGGGAAATCAGGTCAAGTCTTTGTTTATTAGTATTTTGTTTTGTTTTGTTTTTTTTTTTGGTTTATGGAAGGGTGATATACTCACCATATATAGTTTGGCTAGTTGATCTACTCGGCTAAGGTTTTCATCATAGATGAAGTAATTTGTCTCAAGTTGATTGGACTAATAAGTTAGACGTAAGAATATACATTTACCATTTTTTACAATCCATAGTTTGTGATATACTAATGGTAAGCTAATTGCGTTGGACTAATAAGTTATACGTAAGAAGAACATACATGTACCATATTACAATCTATAAGTTTGTGATTTTGTAGGTTCGCTTGCTGTTTTTGAGTTTCAATTTTGAAAGAAACAACCCTCCCTTTTTGCAGGGAAATGATTTGATGAGAATTCTAAATGTAGCAGCATTTGCAGTATCTGGTTATGCATCAACCGAAGGCCGACAATGCAAACCCTTCAATCCTCTCCTAGGGGAAACCTACGAGGCTGATTTTCCTGATAAGGGTTTAAGATTCTTTTCTGAAAAGGTTTTCTCTTCTGTCATAAAAAAGAATCTCACATTATTTATCTATCATCTTTAGTTTGATCATAATTAGGTGTCATAAATTGGTAAAACTCGTCTAACTAATGGTAACAATCATAAGTTAAAGCATATGTTTGTCAATATCAACTTTTTTTCTTTTTCTTTTTTCCATTTTTTCAGGTCAGCCATCACCCGGTAGTTGTTGCCTGTCATTGTGAGGGTAGGGACTGGAAATTTTGGGGGGATTCGAATCTCAAAGGAAAATTCTGGGGTCGGTCAATCCAGCTCGATCCGGTGGGGCTTTTGACACTGGAGTTTAAGGATGGTGAGACATTTCAGTGGAGCAAGGTCACCACTTCTATATACAATATCATAATCGGTAAAATCTATTGTGACCATTATGGTACAATGCGAATCAAAGGCAGTGGTAGATATTCGTGCAAGCTCAAGTTCAAAGAGCAGTCTATCATAGACCGAAATCCACATCAGGTGAAAATTTTATGTTCTTAAAAATAAAATTCTGACTAAATCCACTTTTACTTAAAATATATTGTGGGGATAATAAGTTAATAACAAAACTAGCTTTTGGGGCTTGGCCAAATTGCCAAAATGGAAACTACAAATACTTGAGATTTTTACGCGTTTATTACATTTTTGCACCTGCTTTCAGTGTAGCTAATGCAGATTAGTGATATGTGTGATCAGATATTTACACAATTATGTCCCTCAATTTCTGTGAAGTATAACCTCAAGGATGATTTTGTCCAAATATTGCGAGTTAAAACTTGTATATTCGTGCTTGCAGGTTAAATTGAACTGTAATTTTTCATTTTTCTTATTTTGTATCGACATATTAGGTACATGGGTTTGTGCAAGATAACACAACTGGAGAGAAGGTGGCATTTTTGCTCGGAAAATGGGATGAGGCAATGTATTACGTAATGGGAGATCCCTCCACAAAGCCTAACGGTTATGATCCAATGACAGAATCCGTTTTACTTTGGGAGAGAGAAAAAACTGTTACCAAAACGAGGTACAATCTCACGCCCTTCGCCATATCTCTGAACGAGCTGACTCCCGGTCTACAGAAGAAACTGCCGCCTACAGACTCGAGGCTGAGACCCGATCAGAGGCATTTGGAGAACGGTGAGTATGAGCTGGCAAATGCCGAGAAGCTGAGGCTCGAACAGTTGCAGAGACAGGTGAGCAGCTGAACGTGCTCGTTTCTGGGAGCACCATACTGTTTTTTTACTAGGCATAGTTACAACAGTCCGTCAAGTGTTCATGATCCCTCCATAAATTCACCAAACCTCGATTTTCTTTAATGAGCCTTTTCAATTAACCTCAACAAAAAATATTCCCTTGCATTTGTTTCTTTCTTATGAATTACATGGTGGGTAATTTGTTACACGAAGCATGTTCTTGTGAAGGAGTCTGATGAAACTAATCCTGTTTTTCGAAACAACTCAAAAAAAAAAAAAATATGGACAATGCTACATGTAAAACTATCGTTGAGATCTTTTATTTAACTTAGGAATTGTTAAAATGGCAGGCAAGGAAGCTGCAAGACAGAGGGTGGCATCCAAGATGGTTCCGGAAGGATGAAGAAGGTTGTTATCGGTACTTAGGTGGATATTGGGAGGCTAGAGAGAAACATAACTGGGAGGGTATACCCGATATATTCAGACAGCCTACCGAGGAATAAAAAAACTGCTTTTCAGGTTCATAATACTTGATGCATTTCCACTTTTTTACATAGTTGAAGGGAAATGATCCGAAATTTTAATTATGTTTTTATCCTATAGTATATGATTTTGTTTGTGTAAATTTTGATTGCAACACACACTCTGTCGAAAACAGAGTCTTTTATATCGAAAAATTAGTAATATGAACTATCAGTCGAAATATTTCAGATTTATTAGTATCTTAATAGCAAATTACACGTCTCTTTGCTTACATGATCTACTTTTTACTCGATGCCCATTTTTTTCACTCAAGCTAATACAAATTACATGATCTTCTTCCCAAACTCAGAGCTCGTCTTTTGGTGGTGGCTGAGGGTTATCAGCCGATGACTTGATCGGATAAGAGGCCTCCATAGCTATCCCACACAATCCTTCCTTTGCATCCACACCACGTTGAAACCTAATGTAGCCTTTTTCTCCCCATTGGGTCCCCCAAGAATTTTTAACCGTCCAATATTTAGTCCCGTCAACAGTTTCTCCGTATCCCACAACAGCCACCCCATGATCGAGCTCCGTGCCACAGTCTCCCGTGAAGACCCCCTGAAAAATCAAGAAACTCGAGTTTTTTTAGACCATTAAAAATCTTAAATCTCTCGGTTCTTATGCTTCAGTCTTTAGTAAGTTTTCGTTCGTTAACTCTCCCATTGTGTAAGGTTTTGGATTAATTGCATATATACATATAAATACCTCTGAGTAGAACTGCATATCAGAGCCACTAGCATCAATGGCTACAGATACAGGCTGGTTAGCAACAGCTTTCATTAGTGCACTCTCATCATTTGCGGGCACATTTTCATACCCGTCGATCTTCACCACTGGTGCATTCAGCTAAGTCGAGCAAAAAAAAGAAAAAAAAGAAGAAAAATCTCAGCTGATTCTTAGAAAGAAAAAGAGGTTATGTTTTTTCTTTCTTTCTTTTTTTAATACCTTTGCTGCATCACAGTTCATATCTTGAGCTTTGTATGGATATACAGTCTCGGTTGTGATTCCGCCTTTATTTTTTATGAACTCGTACGCATTGTCCATGAGTCCTCCATTGCAGCCCTCGTTATCCTTCTCACAATCGACCAGTTCTTGCTCAGATAGAGACACTAATTTACTGGTTTTGATCTTATTAATCCCCTCGACTCCCACCACAGTTGAAAATGCCCAACAACTACCTATTGAAATCCAGAAAAAAAAAAAAACCCGATAAAAATTATCATTCAGTTCATCAGTTCGTAGATTTCCTGTGTAATTGATAAAAAAAAAGGAAAAAAAAAATAAAATTACCACAATTTCCTTGATCTTTGACACTAGTGACTGCCCCTTGCTGTCTCCAATCAACCGAAGCCGGCAAGTTATCGACTTTCTCGTGCATGAAAGTTGTGCTGAGCCGGGTCCCACGAAACATACGGTGGTGTTTGATTTTCGAGCTGTAAAAGTTTCTAAATTCGTGGTTAGTCATATCGGCAAACCGGTTGAGCTTCAGTTTGTAAGGCCGATCCATCTGGTTCACCTTGTGGATATGGTGCACGTTAGCCTTGAACACGTTGAAACGGGTTTTTTTCTCGGCTAGATCGCGTGTAACCGTATGGTGGCTCCTCCATCTTTCGTACAAACCCCACAAGCTCTCGTCCGAAGCCAAGTCTTTTTCGGTGAATTCGATGCTTGTAGCAAGGCCAAATATCATAGCAAGGAAAATGGAAGCTAGAAAAAACTTTATCTCCATAGTTGCAATCAAGAATTTGATGGTATTTTTGTGTTCTGTGTTTTTATTTTAAATTTTGTTATCTTTGGATATAGTTATATAGGCATATGGATAAACCAACTGCTTCAATTTGAGTTCATACTGGGTGTAAACTTTTTGTGAGGAAGTTATGCAAAAAAGTAGCTTTATTGAGTATAAAAATGCTATTTTTGAAGGTGAGTTTTGTACTGGCATATGCATTCTTCGAAGTTTGATGATATGCCTAAGTATGGTGAACATGCCAACCATGCTGTGTTTGTTTTGAATTTTTGGCAGAAAGTGACTATTGCTTTTATTTTTTCCAATTTATTTCTCACCTTTATTTCATACCAAAACAACCTTATCATTATCATTTACAGAAACAATGTTCATACCAGTTTTTTTATTTAATTAATCAAGTAATCTACTAATCCAGCTAAAGTATAATTGTACCATTATAATATTATTTGTTTACTGTTAAATATTATTAGCTAGAACTTATCGTGAAGTTAGTATAACTACAAATACCCCGAACTTGTACTACAACCTACGAACACTGTGATATTTTGGCAACTCGACTAGGCCTCAAGGGTACTTCTTTAACTAATGCATGAACCAGAATCACACAAGTTGATCGTAAACGTGAAGATAGTTGTTTTCTAGACTGAAAACGGATAAATCCATGATAAATCATCAATGGCAAATGGCATTATTCATCACGTTAAATAGCAAAACTCACATCAAGTTACATGCTTAATGCAAATTCGGACGAGCAAGATGGCTACATTTCAAAAGGACAGGAAAAGAAAGACGAGCCATTGAAAAACACAAGTTTCTTGATAAATCAGGCGAGTGAATCCCTCTCCTTTTGTTGCTGGTAAAGTTCCTCTCTCATTCTCTTTATCTCAGCTTCCTTCTCCATTCTCTCCTTCTGCAAGTTGCAACAAGCATAGGATGGGGCAAAAACAAGTCAATCTTTAATTACAAAAGATAACCTCAGATAGAAGTTCAGTCTAATTTACCAAAAAGAACCAGATGTCTTTCCAAATTACACATACACCCTTGGGATTTGTTTTCACTTTTAAGTTGTACCATCAAGAGAAGCATATATGTTAAGCAAATATATAAGATTAAGACTCAAATGGGTAATCCTAGATTTTTTATTAAATGATTAAATACACATAACCAAACCAACAACGATGTGTAATTTTTGTAGAATAGTTGGTTATTGCTTGAATTAATGGATCACAAACACACACACACACTTCACTCGTACCATACACACTCGCGTGCACACACAATGTTCCATAAATCATCACACCAGTATGACCAAAGATCACTACAATTACGGGTACATTCAAGATGCTAATTCAACAGGCTAAACACCCAAAATCAACACTAGCCAAGCAGCATTTGCAAATCCCTATTGAAGTATCATCAAAATTTTCATAATTCCCATTCCAAGATCAAAAACTTTAAGCATCTAAAGTTGTTTACACCGAGTAAATACACAAAATTTCCTTATTCGAGACCTTGAAAAACAAAGTTTCAAACACAAGGATACTAAATGAGGCCGATTCCTCTTAGTAGTTCTACCCAGAAGTCAATAAACATGAAAAAGATAACAAAGCAAAATGTCTTAATTCTTCTTCTCATATGCTCAATGAGCTAGGGAATTGGTGCTGACCAGCAGCAGGAACTACATATTTATTGAACTCAAAACAAAAAGAGTGGAAATGCAGTTCATAGAGTTGTTAAACAAAGTGAGCCGCTAGTGAGCTCGGCTCAATTCAGCGCCCATCTAAAGCTCGTTTAGTTACCAAGCCAAGCTCAACTCGTCTTGTCAAGGCTCGAGAATAGAGGCTTTTACTTAGTTTTCTGCAATTTTACCTTAGCTCAGCTCATTAAGGCTTGAATTTGGCCTGTTAAAGCTCAAATTCGGCTAGTTAATATCGATAATCGAGCCAAGGTCAAGCTCGTTCATCGTCTAGTGCAGTTAACGAGCCGAAGAAGCTTGAGCTCGGCTCGGATCATTTACAACTAAAGCAGTTCATATCACCGAGAAAGATCCACACAATCGAAAACCCAATAAAGCTCCAAAATTTTCCCACTTATTTGGGGCCAAGAAAAAGGAAACAGACAAATCGTAGGAAAAAAAAAAAAGAAGAAGAAGAATCCCACAACAAGATTAGTCCTGATACAGCCAAATCAAACAAATTGCTTGCACAAAACGCGATCTAGATAACCCCAAAGTCTCTCATTGCGACCCAAAATTGAACCCATTAAACCTCATAAAATCAGAATTGTTTCACGATTCTAGCTACATTCAAATCGAAATCAACGGCATTTACACACAAAAGGACGGCGGGATTACCTTTTCATCCTGGTGAAGAGCGATCCAGACATGGACTTTGTCCATGGTTTGCCAGAAGAGGAAGGCGCCAAAAGACATAGCGAAGAAGGTCCCGACTTTCACCATCTTCAAAATCGTTAGGCAGTGTGAAATGTGCGATCTTCTTCTTGCTGCTTGGATTGAAGCTCCAATTGAATCGTTATCGGTTCTGTTAAATGGCTTTTGTGCAGATGATTTCAGGCGAACCGACGTAGTTTAATATCAGTGACTATAAGGGACGCCGCTTTGGGGCTTGTTTGGTTAAGAATTTTTCGAATAAATATAAATTTTGGTTATCTATCTATTATATAATTAGGCAACTCACTTGTCACTTTTAGAAAGTTTTATGTGGGTTGGAATATCATTTGTGAGTGTCCTACATTGATTCTATAGGGAAAATGAGTCTAATATATAAGCCTAGTGGACTACTCCTCCTATCACCAATTGGTTTTGGGATGGAACCTCACTAAAGTGCATCTAGGCTCACCCTCTTATGGTGCGCCTTCATCTTGTGGGACCGCACTCTCTTCCCCCGTTTCCTACAACACTTTTATTATTTTTGAAAAGTCCTCACATTCTTTTGACACGTGTTCATAATTATATTAATATTAACTACCTCAACTAATATTTATTTAGTTTATCATTAGCTGCCAACACCTAACAACACTTTTATTATTTTTGAAAAGTCCTCACATTCTTTTGACACGTGTTCATAATTATATTAATATTAACTACCTCAACTAATATTTATTAGTTTATCATTAGCTACCAACACCTATTATTTAATGATTCGACACGTGACTATTTTTGAAAAGTCCTCACATTTTTTTGACACGTGTTTATAATTATATTAATATTAACTACCTCAACTAATATTTATTTAGTTTATCATTAGCTACCAACACCTATTATTTAATGATTCGACACGTGACTCATTTTCTTAATACAAACAATTCAAAGTACGAGACGTATTTATTTAGTTTGTCTTCAGTGTGTCTTGAAGATTTTTCTACAGAAAAAAAAAGACCAAATCGCACTATCCACAACGCGGGACCAGAGGAAGTGTGTTTTCGAGACTTGGGGCCGGAGGAGATGTATTTTCCAGGCTTGGGACAAGAGAAAGCGTATTTAAGAGGCTTAGGCCAGAGGAAGAGTATTTTCAAGGCTCGGTTCCGTTCGTACCATAATGCAGACAGGTCGCAAGAAAAAGGCTCGGAGATGTTTAAGGTAGTCAACACTCATTATTCATTTAATGATTTGACACGTGTTTATGAAGTGTGATTCATTTTTTTAATACAAATAATTAAAAGTACGGGCGTTTGTACTTGACCGGTATTTTTATAAAATTTTATTATATTTTTTATTAAATATTTTAGTTTAAATTATTTATCTAATTTTTGTAATTTATAATTTATAAATTAAAATAATTATAAGTGTTCATATGCTTCTTGCCTAAATTTTATAATTTTTTTTTATCGTAAATTTTGTACATAAATATTAAATCTAATAGTAGTGAAATTAGATATAAAATATTTTAAAAATATGTGCAATGAATAACACACAAAATTCTTCATAATAAATAAATAAATATATAAATAACAACATGTTTGTAGAATATTTTTTATTTCATTTTCTACAACATACAAATTAAATCTAATAAAGTGAAATTAGATATAAAATATTTTAGAACCATACGCAATGAATCATACAAACATTCTTCATAATAAATAAATAAATAAATAACAACATGTTTGTATAATATTTTTTTATTCATTTTCTACATCAAGTTGAAAAATCCAAAACATATTATATGATTAAATTAATCATTAAAAAAATAGTATTAGCATATTATCATGATTAAATTAATCATTAAAAAATAGTATTATGCATATATATGTAATATATGTAATAAATATCAGATTACATAATATAAAGAGTATTTCGTAAATACATTTATGTATGTTCATAAAATATTTTATTTTTAATACGTAAATCAATCAAACATATTTTTTTTCGGTACAATCATTCAAACATATTTAACAACACTAAACAAAGTCCAAAATAACATACGATTTTTATTTTATTTTTTAAAGTATATGGAAGTTAAAAATACACACTTTGGAAGGTACATTGTTAGCGGTTTGAATCGTTAAGCATTTTATTTAGTAAGATATATATGTTGTAGCTTATAAATATGCAATTGATTATTTTACCATCATATTCACACCTCTTTTATCAAAGTCCGTGTGATATGATGTTACGAAATGACTGCTTTCAAAATTAAAATACCGTGAGAATTGATATTCCACAAAGGTCAAGATCGAATACGGTTATTTGAGAATTAATATATTCTTTTAAGACATTTTTGTTTATAATTTTAGTTATTATACATATTATATTTAATTTTAATTCCTAATATGTGTGTTTTTAAGGTGTTACAGGGATATAGAATTTATGCCTCAATCAAAAAAATTCACGTAGTTTTGTTCATATATTTTGGAGTCATTGGTATCCACCAATGTTTTAAATACTGTGGTCATACCGGTCTAGCCGCTGGTACGCGGTATTATCGGTCGGACCAATAATATCGGTGGTATTACCGAATTAGCAAATATAATGATATATATAAATATACATAAAAATATATAATACCAAATGTAAAAAATCATTAATTTCAACTTCTCAATGAGATAAAAATAAAACAATTTAACTACCAATTTAAATTTTTTTTTTTTAAATAAAAAAAAATATTTTTTAAAATTTTTTTATTGGCCGGTATTTTGGACCGGTATTTTACGGTTTTTACGATATTTTACGGTTTTGAGTGTAATTGTATTGTACCAACGGCAGGAATCCGGTATTACCGGTATTATCGGCCGATACGGTACGGTATTTAAAACATTTGTATCCACAATTTATTGCAGTGGCGGCAGATATAAAACTGCTGGCAAGATTCAAGATAAATTTTATGGTGAACTTCAAGATGAAAATTTCCCGAAGTTTATGTATAACTTCAAAAGTTTTACCGATTTGGCTAAAGACTCCTTTTGTAAGGACGCATTATTGATCGGTAAATATATCTTATTCATATAAAAAATAAATATATATTTTAGTTATTGAGAATTAATTTATATGAATATTTTATACCGAAAGAGTCTGTATTTATTGCATGAATCGGCAATTATATCTTATGAATATCAAAACTAAAATATATATTTTAGTTATTGAGGAGTAATTTATATGATTGTTATACCTGAAGAACTCTGTATTTACATATGGCCAACTTTATGTCGTTGTTTCACGAGTTACAAATGGGAAATGATTGAAAATATTAATTTGTTATGATAAAAATAGCCCAAAGACGAAGAATGTTGTATATAAATAAGTGTTCAATAATATTTTATCGTTAATTGCAAATGTCTTTTAATAAAAAAAAATTCGTAGCTCCCGTGCATTTGCACGGGCAACTGTACTAGTTTATTAATAACAGTTAATTCCTTATAAATCTGGCCTGGAAATCGACTGGACAGGTCATCGGGTCACTTGTTGAATCAGATAATTAATTTTAAAACTTTTTAAATTATATATAGTATTTTTAACATATAAATATATATAAAAGTAACAAAAATAAATGATTTTCATATAAAAATTATACATCAAAGTGTTAAAAGAATTATATTTTACAATAAATATTTACTATATCAATATGTTTACATAGTTTTTTTATTTTTTATATAAAAAATATTTAAAAAATTATAAAAATATATAAGGACCAGGTCAATTAGGTTGACTCGGTGTCGAGCGGGTTTGACCGGGTTTACTGTTACCTGGCCCAAATAGCCTACTTGGACTGGTTTCGGCTCCGTCGGCCAGGTTCCGAGTTGACCGTCGGCCCGAGTTGGAAAACATTGATCTGAATAGATTTTGCTTGTGGAAAGATTTTGTATTATTAAATTGATGATTAGGATATGTGTATGATTTAATATGGGAGCATATTTTTAGAAGCTCTAATTTGTTGATTGGTTTAATCTAGGGTACATTTTTAAAATTTTTTAATTGAGGTGGATTTTTTTT